TACGTCTTTTCCTTGCAGCTGAAGATTGAAAATATTAAGCTTTTCAAAAATATCTACTAAATAAGAAAGCTTCAATAAAAATAATCTGTCGTAGAATACTGTTGACTCCTCGCTCAGAAATATTGCTATTTTCCTTTTTAGTTCAAAGACACGCTGAACCACCTCACCGCGTGACAACCATCTGGATGAGAAATAAAATAACAAAGATTGATGCTCAGCTCCCATATCTTCACACAGAACAGAGAATATCCTTGATTTTAGTGGCCTGGATTTTTATGATGTTAACTACTTCAATACTACTGTCAAAACAATGTTTAGTCCAGGACTTAAGAGATTTTGATGCTAACGCTTCTCGATGTGTCATGCAGTGCGTCCAGATAATTTCTGAACATTCCTTTTTTAGTAGCGCTTATAAACTTTGTATTTACCAGACATGGCTTGAGCTCAATCTGTGCAAATCCCAACACAATTTTCCATTGCAAATTCGTTTTAGTAATTTTGTAACCTTGGACAATTCGGTGGCAGTAGTAATAAATCTTCATGTATTTTAGAACCTTGACAGAATCCAATATAGCAAATCAAATCGGAATCATTACCGGAGTCAGTTGCTTCGTCAAGTTGTATAGCAAACAATTTTCCACTAAGTTCAGATTCAAGTTGCTGCTAAATATCAACTGATATATTGTTAATTCATCGACAGATTGTATTATTTGACAGAGGAATATTGTTAATTTGTGAAGCAAAATTTTCACCGAACATTGTTTATACAATGTTTTTGCACGCGGGTAAAATGAGTTGCTCTGCAATAGTGAGGGTTTTTTGCAGTTAGCTACTTTGTAAGCCACTTCGTATGATGCCAAGAGAGCCTCCTCATTTACTTTATGGAAGTTTGACTTCCCCCACCCCCTTTTTTTTAAGAATCTCAGTTTTCCCTTAAAAAAAACCCACACGCTGCACAGAGAACATGGATGCAGCGTTTTTAAATGCCTCTTCAATTTATTTGGTTTCACACTATCTCCAGCCAATACTTTTAAGTAGATAACGCACTGAAGTTTTTTTTTCCATCTACTTCAAGGTTAGTAAAGCCGAAATCGAGAAACGATTGGTCATATTTTCTTGTTTTAGATTTTGGACGATCTCCACTTGAACTTGTCGATGTACATGCCACGTCGTCATCAAGTTTTCGCTTTAAAATTTTTTCCATACTATATCTACTTATGATTCACAATAATGCTGCTTAGTGTTAGAAAACCTGATCTGAGGAATATCTTACTCTTTAATATACCAAATCTGCAACTTTTCCGGTACTTGAAATAAAGCCAGAAGGCACATGACGTATAAAATTCCGGACGTGGGAAAATCTCTGATTCGTGTATGCGCTTCCCTATTTTATAGTCGCGTTGCTTCAATTCAGACAATTCGAGAATGGTCAGGAAGCTTGGATACGTGACGCGAACTTTCCGACAGCATCTAGACTAGACTGACTATCCGGCGTTTTAGACTAGACAATGTTGCCTAGTGTTATTTGAATTCTTAGGTCTACGAATTAGGTGCGCAAAAAGTTTCGAATTAAAACAGGGGGGGCGAAAAACAAAAGTTTGAGAACGTCTGCCCTACACTGTTGGTACTGCTCTCTTTAAAAAATTCCTTAAATTTTTACAAATTATGAAGTACACAATAAAACAAATTCGAAATTCGTGTTTCCAGGCGCTCATATTCGGGTGGAGGGATACGTTATTTAAAACTTAATGTCTGTATGTACGGTTGTTTTTTCACAATACGAGAAAAATACTACACGTTCGTGCAGATTCTTTATTTAATGTCTTTAAATCTAATACACGGCGATATTTGGTGGCATTAATTTGAACAGTGATTCAGATTTTTATAGTTAACCAACTTTTATAGTAATTCAACGCAAAATCCCGTTCTGAGACTTACAGCCCTTCTCGGTTAACGCTTCTTTGGGCTAAAAAAAAAAAAAAAATCCCTGCATATTAAGGCTAAATAGTGAAAATGTGATGATGATGTTTTCATACAGTGAGATGAAAAAGAAACATCCCCTGTGATGAACTGAATCCTAAAATTTAGGCTGTACTACTTATACCTCATACACAATAAGCACATTCAATTAAACATTTCAACATATTTAAATATAAATGGAAGTCCAACCTCTCTTCGGAGTAGCTGTGCCAACCATTGTTCCATGTAATATGGATACGACAACAACAACAACATATTTATTTTATAAAACATTTTATTTTCTTCAGGTGTGTTCTTTTTCTTTACACAGTTTAAACCGTATGCCATACTAGCAAAATTTCTTTCGGTACAAAATTAAATCATAATAGGCAATATAATAAAACATTCATCAAACAATAACAAAATAATTGAACATATAAAAGATTTCAAATAAAAATAAGCTCAAGAATTCGAAGGAGCATTAACCAGTAATAAATATTTGAAGGAATAGGTTCCCACGTTACGAGAAAACTAATCTAGAACATCAACATTACTATTCACAGAATAGTATTATTAAATACATATGGCACATAAAATCCAAATTATAACAAGATTATTCTTTATTAAACATATTAACTTCAGGGTAACATGTGAACCATTACCTTCGTCACAGAATTCAAAAAGGAAAACTAAGATTTAAAATACACACTGTAAATGGTCAAACAGTTCGCAATTAAAACACTTTTGCATTCCATTCATTTTTATTGTTAATAAATTATCAAATAAAAAAGATATACCGACCACAGTTTAGGCCAAATGTGATTGCTTTGCTCACTGCGCGATTTTAAATTGTAATCAGTATAATGGAAAATAAGGCCATTAGGTTGCATTCACATAGTGGATTAAATATCATCAATGTCAAAATCTAAGTTTTCTAAGGTCATAAAAATATTCACAGTACCAAACGCTTTTCGGATTAACGATTCTATACCACAGCAAATCACGAAATGCTTCTCTTGAGCGTATTTGATATCTCCTTCAAATTTCAGGCAACTTTTAATTGTCAACCAACATACTTTGCCAGTAGATTTCTTTAAGGGTTTATTTTTAGTGAAACAAAAGCTCTGTTACCGCCAACAAAACGTTTGACACTTCCATACTTTATTAATACACAGAAAATATTAATTAAACATAAAAAGTTTTCAGTCTTCTATGTCAAATGCGACACATTATCCTAAACCTAATACGTCATTTTCTAAACCTAACAACTTGTCATTGCCTTGTCTAGAATGTTTTAACAGCATTAGGTAAAGTTCAAGTACCTTTGAAAGCAGAATAACATAGTTCTACATAGTGAGGGGGTAGACTCTTTGAAAAAGCTAATGAAACAACCTACCTTTATCGCTTTTAATACTTCGGGCCCTTACTAATTATCATAGTCTGCCTAAACAAATATGGAGAAAGGAAAGGTTTATTTTATAATTATCAGCTTATTATATTTCTTTAAGATAGTCTGAAGGATACTTAATCTATATCAATGTATATCGGTGTTGTTCTCGTATACTTAACGTCAAGGAAGGAGGAAGAAGGAACTCCATCAAAGAACCCATCGGTTATGGTATGGTATATTTAATTATGGCAAAACGCGCGAGGGCTATCTTTCTAAGGGAGGGATGCCTTCGTGAAGGACTTTCTAAGGTAAACAAACTAGCTTGTATACACATTACACACGGGAAAAACCACGAAAACGCCCACACAGCTAGCCCGTTCGCCCGGATTCAAACCCGAGACCGAACTACCAGTGTTCAGCGACTTTATCACTCGGCTGGAACCTATCAGGAATCAGTTGCGAGATTTTATAATGTACACTCGTTACATTATAAAAAGGAGTATCTCATCATCATATACAACAGACTTCCGATTATTCGATGCCACCGAATAACAACAAAAATTGAACAAAACGTAAATTTATTACGGTATGAAAAGCAATTTAATAATAATAAAATTTAGATATAAATTAATAAAATTCTTTGCATTCGCAATTTTTAATCTAAAATGGTTGCAATTTTCATTTTATTCCAGTTCTCAGTTACCGAAGCGACATCGGTCCATACTAGAAATTATGCGCTAAAATTCCCACTGCAAAATGTCTCAAGATTTACATGAAAATATCGAATATGGATTCTCAAGAGATATTCACAGAAAACTTAATACATATAGCATTAAAGAGAAAAGCTTATCAAAAAATATTATGCCTTACCAGTGGAGAAATGGTTAAGACCACTGAATATTCGTAGTTAATCCAGGTTTAAGTTCGAACCTAGGTGAACAGGCTAGTTGCGTGATTGGTTTTCTCCACAAGTAACGTGAGCACCAGCAAGTTTCCTTTAGAAAGCCCCCCCCCCCCACAAAAGCAACCTTCCTCTAAGGCAGATAGCCCTCTGGGCTCTGACATATTCAAATAATCTAACCTAAAAACGTTATGATTTTTCAAACCTAAAATTCCTCCTCAGTCAACGATGTCAATTACAGCTTCTTGATATAAGAATATTTCGTTCATTTAAAATGAAATATCAGAATGACACTGAATGATTTGGAAACGAAATCTGAAATAATGACATTCATACTCAATGTTTTAACTCATTGAACTTTAAAAGAAATTCAGGGTATGAAGTGACATTAAACATAATCAATAACTACTTTCAAAAAGCATAGATTTCATTAAAAGATGCAGCTTAATGTGATTTAATTTATCCATAATTAGTAAGAACTGCGAAAACAAGATACTATTGAAAAGTGAAATTTCAGAAGCAATACATTGTTTGCATGTGCAGAAAAGTTATTTTAACAAACAAACAAACAAAACAAGAAAATCATGCTAACTGTAAAACTAATATAAAGTACAATAAACTGAAATCTCTGCACCATAACTATAATATAGTGTAATAAAAGGAATGTGTAGCTGTAGTGGTATATTTTTATAGAACATAACTTTGTTCATGCGCAGTATAAATAAATCGCAGAGATTTTTATCTTTACAGAAATAACTGTTGAAAGATAAAGTTTCACGTACACAATCCGTCCGAACAAATTCAGCGTGCTGTCAAACACTTCCGTTAAGCTGAAGGATGTCAATCAGCTGAAATGTTTCGTCGGATGATGGAAGTGTGCGTCTCAAAAACAATGGTGGATTGGGCAAGAATATTTAGTGAAAGAACGGGAACGAATAATGCGTAACTATCCCATGTTGATGAAGCCCATGTTGCTGCCACAGAAGACCATCGTGAAAAAGCGGAATGAGGCTATTCGTGCGAATAGATGCTTCAGCATTCGATCTATAGTGGATCAATTCAACGCGAGTTACAGGACTGTAAAGGTAAGATCTAGGGTATTCCAAAGTGTGAGCACATTTGAGTTTCCAGAATGACGACGGAGGGATTAAAGTTGGAGCTTCAGAAGTCTCGTTCTATGCAGGTAAAGACAACCTCCAAAATTTTACACGGACGACATTCGTTTATTGGGCGCACAACAGGACAAAGGTCTGAATGTCTACACCACTTCTTCTAAAGAACAAATACTGTGACATACTCACCACGGATGCCTGTACATAATGATATGTGTTTCCCAGTAAATCCATTACTACCACCATCACCTACCAGTACAGTGTATAAAATGCATTAAATACAGTTATTTTCTGCAAACGGCTTTCAGTTGATTAACACATGCACAACAAAATCCCGACAATCCGATATTCAGTTAGCCAAAAAGCTCACCTGCCCTAAACAAATAAACAAAATAGCATGCAGTTGGGGATGTTTACAAAATTACTGATTAATGACATCAAGAAAAGTGCGTTAATGGGCACGATACGTAACTTTATATGAAAAAGGATAAACAACGGCGATAAAAATCGAAAAACTATAGTAAGCGATTTAAGATTTTTACATACTATACTTGTGTCTCTTGATTATCTAACTAAATAAAGAGTGATCACTACTTTCAAACTTCTGCCTAAATCCCTGACTAAAGTTTGGCAGCATCTCAGCCAACTTTCATGGAAGACGGGATTTTCATAATCAGATATTTTACTTTCGTATGTTCAAGCCTTACGATGATGCATCACCTTTTATGTCTGAAACGCCCCTTATTTTCCGCAGTGTTGTATTATATTCAAGTGGCTAATAAATAAGTTTAATGTTTTTATAATTTTAGATCAGAAATTTCTTTTCCCGTTCATTTAACACTTTACCGTTACTTGCACCCTGCATACGCTCAACTATCCAGAATTTTCATTTATCTCTCCTTTGTTTTTTCCCGAGTTTTTACTTTACTATTATTTTTCAATGTAAATATTTCATATATATATATAGAGCAACCCAACATTTACTTTTATCATATTTATTTACTGTTATCTTAGTTTCCATTTTTGAAAAGTTAAACATGAATTGAAAAGCTTGAATTAAAAATAATAATAATTTTACATTCATCACTCTATAATAACTGCAGTAAGAAGGAACAATTACAGTAAATCCTTGTCTTCAGTCTTTTAATATAATATAAAATACCGCTAAAATATATTTTATATTTTTTAAATATAAATAGGCACTGAAATATAATTAATATGAATCGCATTAACCAAATTCTAACCAAAAAGAAAACAAAAATTACTGAATAAAATAATAATAATAAAAAAACAGTATTTCTTTGTTAAAATGACCATCATATAAGACCTTGGTGGCATCTGATGTGTTCACTGCGGTGGCAGCTTCAACAAAGAAGTATCAAAGTATATTTGATGATGCTTACTTCTTCATTTTTCAAGAAATTTCAAATAAACTGGAACAACTGCATAATGGTGACATAGTTATAATTCAATAGAATCATCATTAATGGATGAAAAAAATTTAACCGCGATTCTAAAAACATGATTTCAGATCAGTTTTAAAACCCATTCAACAAATTAAATCTTTAATTGTTATATAAATTAGCATTTCACATTACACCCTTTGTTACTCTCCTCTCATTAATATACAAATTACCTTCAAAAAATTCACAGAATTTGTACATTTTTGAAAACTATGAAAATTAAAATAATTTATTCTACCTGTCCTTTTATCACCAATTATATAACTGTTGAAAGCAATGTTAAAACACTACACTTTCATAGTATTTTTTTTTTTTTTTTTAATGGATGATGTATAACAATGCAGATGACGCAGTCTCTGAACTGCTTTCCTTTTAAATTTTCAAGACAAAAAACTTAATCAATCATTAAAATTAAAATAATTCATGGATAAATTTCGGTCTGGGATACATTACTGCCAACTTTTGATGACATTTATTCGACGATTATTCCCCATGATTAGAAATGATGGGGCTACATGATGAAGCTTTTATTTTATAGTAGCTACATGCAGGGCCAATTAAGTGATCTTGGTCGTCGATTTTCAGAAAGCACCAGCATATTCTCAGAAAAAAACTTACTAAGATATATTTCGAACAACATGTTTAATTTATACGGAGTGCTGAAAATACTGAAATTCGAAACTAGCCACAAAATACAATTTTTACTTGATCACTTTTCTTGATCAGTTTCCAGTAATCGGGAATACAAATATACCCCTCAAACTAAAAATTAATGCAAAGAGTATAATTTGTCACACTGCACCCTGATATACTGCCTGCCGACTATTAACACCATACTGATTTCAGACAACATTACATGCGCATCATATGGTAGGGAAAAAAACTACTTTTTGAAGCCATCTTGTTTAAACTTTCACGGCTTTTTTTATCACAATAAAGATTTCACATTTTTTAACAGTTTTTTCCTTGGTATAATACTTTTACAGCAGACAATTCTTCATGAAAAATAAGATATATTGGACTCTTTTGTAGTATACCTGAAGACTTCTTACAATTATTGTTGCTTATAAAAAATACTACCATTAAAATTTTTGAAAATTTATTTTAATTACGATTTAAAGTACATAAGGATCAAAAAGACCAACAAGAATTTACTGCAAATATAAAAATGATATATCAAATTTAATAAATACAAATTATTATATAACAGCCACTGGGAAGGCACTGAGGTAATAGAAAATACAGAGGAAAAACAAAGGCACCCATATGGTTTAAACAATAGCACTGTTTTTGACTAAATTTCTGCAATGGTCCCGTTAACTAAATTTGGTAAACATAATTCTTATGCAAAAATATAATATTTTGTGAACATTTGAAAAAAATATTACACTAAATATTATAATAGATAATTACTCAAAGAGCTATCAAAAATTAAAACAAGATTTTAATATTCTCACACCAAATCACATTTCAAGAGAATACAAAATTCTACATCAAATTTGGCAAACCAGACCACTGCAACAGTTTAAAACATACTTATTTGTATGCTCCAAGCTAAGTGCATAAGTTGAATGCAATCTTTATCTTTCTTATGCAGTATTGCAAGAATTTTAACACTGTTGTAGAAAACAAGACCCCCCCCCCAGCAAAGTCTACATATAGTCTATGTACAATAAATATTTTTAATTGTAAATAATTAGCAATATGACAGAAATTGCATACATTGGAAAATGCACAATAAAATGAAATATTATCATTCAAAAATTAAATTTTAAACTAAAGAATTTTTAAAAAGAATTTTAAAAATTTATGAATTTGGCAAATCAGTTTTATTCATTTTCTTATTATGATAAATACTAACCATAAGATGAAATTTATTTAAATGTAGTAACTTTAAAACATAGCAAACATTTTCTAGCAGGTTTTCTTCAACAATAGTAGTCCAAAACTGAATAGCACATTTTAGATTAAATGTTGTAATAATTTTACATATTTTATTAAAATATTCCCCAAAATACTGTTTATAAGTAATTTTAAATCTCATTATGATTTTGTATATTTTACTAAAATATCCCCTAAAAACTTGCCTTAAATATCTTATAATTAGGACTGCCTAACCTTATCATGAGCATGCATACTTTTTGTCCTCCCTAAAGAGATGTCATAATCTACCAATGTGCTGGGAAAATATAATGATGATCTACTAATGTAATAGATTGATAGCGCATGATTGACTCAAAAGCACACCACGAACTAGTGCTAATGGTCAACGGCTGGCCAGACTCATTACAGATGAATTTCAATATCTACATTCCTTTACAAATGTGCATAATATAAATTACAACAATACATATACAAATTATAATAGGAACAACACAAATTTTGCATGAAACCTGTTTCTGCTTTCAATGTAGTCTACATTGCTGTCTCACTGCCTATCTTTTGAATGATGAGTACTACAAATGACCTGCTTTAATGGTATATACATGTTTCATGATTGAATGAGACTTTTGAATAATAAATATTAATGGAGTTTTCTTCCCCCAAACATGAAATTTTATTATACTTTAAAAACGGAAACTAATTTGAATACTATTTACATTATTTCACAAATGTTCTTTGGTTAATTAAAATAGATTTGCTCATTTAAATGGTGATAATGAACATATCTTTGAAATTGAATGATATGTTTAAAAATGCATTAGCTTTAACTAATATTAAATGTTCTTCTAGTAACAAACACTCTGAATTTTAAATTTCAATTTTCTTAGTTAATACTAATAATTATTACACACAATGTACTCATTTTCTCATATCTGCATGGCAGAAATCCAAAACAGAAAAAGTGTAAAACTGAGTTTTATACATTCATATTTTACAGAAAAATGAAGAATTATTTTACTTCCGAACTTCTTTTTAATAGTTTTAAATTTATTTTTACTAAAATACTTCTCAACTAAATTTGTTTAAATTAATATCTGTAAATTTCATTCATATAAACTTAAATACTTCACTAATAAAAAAGAAGCCATAAAACCAAGCAAATTTTGAAACTTAACTGAATTATATTCTGTCCTACAAAGTAGTTTCCTTATGTATTCATGCATAGAATTTTGACTTAATGCATGCATCTTCAATATGCCTATAACCCTCTGTAATATGGCCTAAACATCCTATAAAGGATTAAAACAACAATCCTTCCTTCACCACTATCAATTAAAAAAATTATAAAGTTCCAAATTTGACAAAAAAATTAGAGATGAAGGATTATTAAAAGTTTCATTTCTATTAAAAACATATTTGGAGTATGTTCTGCAAGTTCAAAGCCTTATAAGGTATGAGAAACAATCAGTTCTCATTTCTCCACTGTTAGATCATTTGGGCTGAAATATTTTCTCAGCAATCTCAAATATTACAACAAATGTTGCACTGATTGCCTGATCAGGGATATTAATATTCATTGCATAATCTACTTCATATTAGAATATACATATTATTTTCATTGCAATTCTTAGTGACTTAAATCACAATGCCTGCTGCTTTGACTAACAAAATTACGAATCAGACTACCATGTCCTAAGATCCTAAACAAACTGATAACACTTGCATTTGTCGTAAAAACAACCTTGTATTTAGCGTTTTTACGATTTTGATTGTCACATTAGCGTGTTTCTCTTCTAGTCTACTGACATTTGTATTTCAATAAACAAGCTTTCAACCTGCCTTCCAGTCATGATGCAAGTATTAAACTGTTTGATTGGTTAATTGATTATGGCAAAGCTCACCAAAGTTTTCTTCTTTGGAAGGCATTTCTTTATGGAGAATTTTCTGATGAAGAATTTCAATTGGTTCGCATTACACATAGAAACTCGCTCATTTCACTGATAAATTAACAGCATTCAATGACCCTATCCATTTTACTAATAGTAGGCAACCGATTGCAGGCATGCTATCTACAAATGCGGATATTAGCAGATTTAAAAAAAAAAAAAAAAAAAAAAAAAAAAAAAAAAAGATTCACTTGAATAAACATTCAAAATTTAGTTGAACTTGTCAGATTTCTGTTTGATCAACTTAATATAGACCTCAATGAAATCTAAAATTTTAGATTAACATACATAAAATATCAGGAAGAAAAACAGATATTAATATTAATGAATATGAAAATTTCAAAAATAATTTATTACATAATGTTCTGAAATATAAATATAAAATTAAATTCTAGGGAGAAAATTATTGTAAAACTATATTTTCTAATAATTCTATATAAAATAAATACCAGATCCCACAATACTTATTTTTTTAAAATACAAAAGTATTAACAATTTGATCATTATTCCTTTAAATTTATTCACTGGATCTCGGTCTCTAAGCCCAAACTAGTTTCAAATATATAATTGCATTAACATTAATTACTACTTTTATAAAATTAGCACAGGAAATAAGAATAGAATTATATTATAATATATATAATATTTAAATGCACATTTTTATGTAATAAACATATAGAAACAGTAATTATTTTATGCAACCTTAAAAATACATAAGTTTCTGTTTCAAAGATTTCTTAAAGTGACTGCTGCTTTGATTAAAAAAAAAAATTAAAGAAACACTATCATTTTTCTTTAGCTATTCATACATATGGAAAAGTTTGAAACTAAATCAAACTTGCATGAATTGTTCGTCTCATAATGAAAAGTTTCAGTTCATTTAAAAACCAATGATTTTAAGATATTTTATAATTCTGGATATTCTCATACCCCACCTCCAAAAATAATATAATTACAAACTTTCTTTCTCAAGTAGTTTTTATATCATAAGATTTTTCATACAACAATCTCCTAAAATAAACTTTTTTCTATCATTACTTTATTATATTTAAAAACTTAAAAATTACAACAAAAATGTAAATAAATTCTAAATATATTTTTAAATACAATACTGGTATACTGTAAAGCTAGTACTGATTATCTGTCTTCCTTCTCATATAATCTTTTACTTATGTTTATTATACTAAATACTTCAACTTAACATTTCAGGATATATTACATACCTTCCTTTAACACTTGATTGCTCACACTGTTGTCTAGATAATAATATTCATACAAAGTTTCAAGTCAATTAGATAATAGTCATCTCTCAAACAAATCAATAATAAGAATCCTTAAAAGTACCAATTTAAAAAGGTTTAATAAAATCTAGGCTAAGAATTAATCCTAGAAGTTTGAGATTTAAAACATAAAATTATATGCTTAAAATAAGTTGTTCAAAATAGAAAAGCCAAGCAGTAAGGAAAAACATGCCTATGATATAACTGCATCACATGTGAATATAACATAGTAACTTTTGCTCTTATTTAATTAAGAAAATTATTCAGGATGAAATGTATATTTTTTTGCCAGATTCTTGGTATATAAGACTTGCAAAAAAAATTCCTACAAGTAAAGTAGTAAAACTTCAGTTTTATTAGAGCATAAATATTGAAAAAATAATATTTCCTTCACGGTATTAATATTATCAAAAACTTTTCTAATTATGTTACAAATTGGTATAAGCATTTTGCATATGCAGTTTTTACATTAACTTGATTATTAGTTTGGCAGTTTTTACACAGGGTTCGTACACATTTCTGCACACAGAAATTAAGTACTTTTAAGAATCATTAATGAAAGAATTAAGGATTTATGAGCAAATGAGAACTGAATAAATTCAGTTAAAAATATTATCTATAACTGAACTTCAATTTTATAATACCATCCTAAAAATAAACAGATCCGTAAGTAAGATGCATTATTATTAAACATAATTTAATTAACATAATTATTAATAAATTTGAGAATAAACTTTTATGAAATTTATCAAGTAGCATTTAATACTTTACACTTATAATAGTTGGACATATTTGAAAGAAGATAAGTGACATTTTATTTACATTTTACTAACAGTTAGCTTGATTTTTTTTATGTCTCATTTTGTCATATACTTGCTCAGTCTAGAGGTTTAGTAAACAGCAGATAGATTTTTGTGTCAAGCAGCACAGGTTAAAATGAGAAGTAAAATCATAATCACCACGATTCATAATTCATAACAGATTATATACTTTAAGGTTCGAATAAGCCATTAAGAACCAGATGTGATAAGTTGTTTTGTATTATTTTAAGTGACACTATATGCAAAGAATATGTTTTGCATTAATTTTTACATTTTTATGTTTTATCTTGTAACCATGGTAAGTATTAATGAAAGGCAAAAGCTTGCTTTAATATGCAGATATAATTTATAAGGGTAAACAGTTAGTTATAAATAATTAAATTAGGTAGTCCAGCGCTGGCCTCCAGAATCGTACCTCGAAATTTCTAGGGTTATGGAGCAATAACCAGAGGCTCAAGCATGGTTGAAATAGGTTGAAACCCCTTTGGACAGGTTGTTTCTAACCGCCTTATCGCCAGTTCTACAGAACATCACAGATTATCGAACCCTCTGAAGGTCTTGATGGGGTTTACTATCATGTTAACCTTTCTGTCCAATTTAGCAAACAGATGGAATTGCCGTGCTACTTGAAACAGTTAACTCTTGAAATAATTAATAATGTCTCTATGGACGATGTCCACATGTATACGGATGGCAGTAAACTTGTTAATGACAGTTCTGGCAGTGACATTTATATTAGATTTTGGGATTAAGAAATAAGAATTCAAAGAAGAAAACCAGACTTCTGCTTAGTATTTCGAAGTGAGCTTATTGCAATTCTGCAGGTTCTAGACTCCATCATGTGGCTTCCTCAGTTAAAAGATATCTGGATCTTTCGGATAGTAGAAGTGCCGTCCAGCACTTGGCTGATTGGCATAATTTGAGGGATAATACAAGTGCAGACATCCTCAGGAAACTAAAACAACTTTCCTTTTTAACCAGATCCACTTTCAGCGGATTCTGTCCCATGTTGACATTGCTGGAAATGAAATTGCAGACAGCTTGGCTAGAGCTGGTGCTAGCAAGACCACAATGCCTGCCGCTCCTCTTACTTATATGGAACTATTTTCTAAATGTAAGGCAAAGAATAAGGCCGTCTGGATGGTCCCACCAATGCACCCATGGTATCAGAGTAAGTGGCTTGGTGGCTTCTTGGTTCAGAGCAGGAATAGATGAGATCAAACTGCACTTACTAGATTGCTTAGTGGACATCTGCAATCAATGACTTTTGTCGGTGGTAATAAACACTTTGAAATATGCACTAAGTGTTCTATTGCACAGGCCTCTCCTGATCACATTTTATCTTGTCTGGGGCTTACCAGACAGGATCTGATACAAGACCCCCTTTTTGTACTGGACTCTTTTAGGGTGAATGGGCTCATGGACCTGATCTAGCTCTGCTGGTCACGGAGAATGAGTTGTTGAGAATGTTGATGAGAAACAACAACAAAAGCAATAACAAATTAGGTAGTTAGATAACCTTAGTCATTATGGATTTAGATGGCCACTTAATGCTTTATCTCCTAACTTGTCAACCTCTTCACAATGTGCCAATAAAGGTTTACTTGATCTGGGAAAAGTTAAATAGTCCCAAACCCCCCAACAGATGCCAAACAAATTAACGCTACATCTGAAAGCAACTACAGAGTCAGACAAAGGTTTAAATAAGCCTCTTATTTAAAAAGGACTTAAAATATAAAGTCATGTTCTTGTGCTAACAAAATCAATAATATCTCATGGTGATGTAATTAAACAAGAAGAGTAAAATTCAAACTAAAAATGTGAACTAGTTGGTCAACAACTATACAATTTAATTTAAATTTAAGCTGGCTCAGTAACACTATCGTCAAAATTCAAATGTCAGCAGCAATAACGCAAAGACGAGTAATTACTTATTATTAGAAGTGACAGGAACTAATGCAGCAAGCAAGCTCAAGTCAGAAACACACTCTATCTTACACTCCAAAAACCCCAGTTTAAAAACAATCTAAGTAATTTGCATTCTGATGAGAAAATAGAAATGGGAAATTACAGTACAGGCTGAAATTATAAACAACTGTGTAATTTACATGTACATGCATATCCTTAAAGAATAATTTTCTTCTCTTTGTGTATTCAATTTCCTTCTTCAACACATTTCCTTTTCATTTTAGAATTTTAAGATTTAATTAAAGATTTATGTTTTTCTAAAGAAACTAAATGCATTTAGGAAGTATAGAAAAAGCTGCCAATTTTATTTCTTTAGTAATACGAACATTCAGAAGAAATATGAAATATATATGGTAAGGGCCGGTTACAGAGCTGGTGTGGCAGAATTTTTAGAATTTAGTGACACACCAAATAACGAAATCTAGAATCAGCAAAACTTTTAGAATTTAGAGCAGGCATTGGAAGCAGAATTTAGGATCTAAAGCGATAGCAACAGGTGGAAAATGCCTAGTACCAGGCTTATGTATGATGCATTGAGACATATAAGGTGAATCTTTTAAATTGTCAGTGTTAATTTCTTTATTAATAGGAAAATTCCTTTCTGCAATGCCTGTCCATGTGATGAGATTACAAGCACTTTTCATATTTTCCCTGCTTGTGTCTAGTGAAAAGTAAAGAAAGTAAAGGAAAGATAAACACATTAAGAAAATGATTCTAATATCAGAAGTAAAAAATTCAAATATTATGTTTTCATTGTTCTTATAGAATTTTTCTCCAAAGAGTAAGAAATTCATCACAAACTTTCTGTAAAATACATCCATTACGTGACCATGGAGACATTTTTCATTTCGTCATATTTTCTGGAATCTTCTAGAATCGTGATTCTATAAATCTTGCCTTCAAATCCTTCTAAACTTTCCACACTGCAATGTCTAAAATCCTAATTACCCCTACCAATTCTGTAACAGCAAAAAGACAGAAATATTTTGAAAACAAAAATCAGAGGGAAAAAGTATAGAATTAGTTTTATAGAGAGAACTGATGCATATTCTGAGAATTATGAATATTCGGGGACAATTATATAGGAAAAACTCTTATCATGAAAAAATTAAAAAGATATTTTTAATTAATTACATAGCTATTTTTGCTTCTGCTAAGAGCTGTTTCGTAAATTGTGCTTTATAGCATTATACCTTGTTTATTTTTCAGATTCAAAATATTGTATAATAAGTGGCCAGAATGGAACTTTATTATATGACAGC